TATCCAAAGAACTTCAGGTATTTTATGAAAAAGTTACGATGACCATGCAAAGTGAGGATGATAGTATGATGAGAGTATATGTGCTGAAAAGTCTGGAACACGATACCGGATTGGCACAATTACTTCCGTACTTTGTTCAATTTATTTGTGAGAAGGCATGTAATTTTCCCTTTTAATATTCGAATGCCTGCGCATTGAGGGTTCGAATTTGTACCATTTCTGGTCATGTTCATTCCGAGAGATTAGGCGTGATCATGAGTAACCCCAATTGACATTTATAGATCGGACAACACATAAAAAAAAACATCACAATTATAGATTCAATGTTGAAGATGACTGATTCGTTGATTAACAACACCAGTCTCTATTTGGAGCCTCATGTAAGTGCCATATGATCTTCTGAAATGTGCTGTTACGAGAAGAAAAGCTCACGACAATTCTGATAGCTGCATCATTTGATGCCGGCTATATTAACATGTGTGGTAAGAAGGAAGATTGGGGTAGATCCTGACAATAATCATTGGGAAATACGTGAATTAGCCGCGCATATACTAGCAAAAATCTGTGATAGATATGGCGCGAGTTATACCACTTTACAACCGAGAATCACACGAGTTTTGTTATCCGCTTTCACCGATTCTTCAAAATCCTTAAGTACTCATTACGGCTGTATAGTGGCCATGGGCGCTTTAGGGCGTGAGGTGATAAGGTCCATCTTGGTGCCGAATCTTAAAACATATGCGGAAATACTTTCGTTAAATAACGTTTCTGATGTCAAAGCCATGCGTTGTTATAATGCAATAGTGGTATGTGTTTATTATTATTATCTTATTTTTGTCTGCAAATTTTTGCCTTTGACTAATACCGCGAATTGTCATCTAGGACATACTACCGAAATTGAAAGAAACGATTGATCCCACCACGGTCAACGTCCAAGTACATGATGAAGACTTGAGGAAAAGACTGGTAGATAAGATAGGAGAGTACTTTGCTGATGGGGTTATGAATAAAATTGGAGACGAGCAAGTCATTATGGCGATAATTAACTGTTAAAGAATGGAAATGGCTGGCCGTAAACGGTCTCACTAGGCTAATTCGTTCCTTTATTGTTAATAACTTCGAATGTTAGAAGACACTTTCCTAATATATATATATGGGTATAAAGTAACCGTTCCGCCTGTATCATGTGAATAGCACAAAGGGGAGTGCTTATTCTCAATATCTTAGTTCAGTGTTAAACACAAGTGTGTTGGTGTATTCCAAATATTCGTCATATAAGTTCTGAAGGAATTTTATAAACTCTTGTTTTGTCATTCCATTTCTTTTTTTTTACTTTTTGCGATAGTCATGAAAACTATTTCCTCGATTACTTTATTGGTAGTGTTCTTATTTGTAAGTATCCTGAATAAGGTGGAAGCTACCACTCCCACCACGCTACTTTGTTTGGTTAATAAAGAACGTATAAGGGCTAGGGTGAAACCTTTGGCACTAGATGTGTACGTATCAGATTTGCACCAAAAAGACTCATCTTTTAATCCCACCCTCGAACGCTCAAACCATTTTTATACGCCATTTAAAAAGTCGCCTGATTAAATCTGCCCAACTTCATACGAATTATATGGCGAGGGCCGGAAATCTTACGCATGATGATGAGGATGGTTCGTTAGGCAAAAGAATCGATAACGTGGGATTTGATTGGCGTGCAGCAGGAGAAAATATCGCGTATGGATTTTACTCCGAAGATGAAGTTGGCGTTATGAAAGCGTGGGTGTCGTTTGTTCCGGTTGCATTATAACGTTTCATTGCATAAATTATAATGACATCTTTATCACGCGAATGAATTTACACACAGATGGATGAAATCAAGAGGTCACAGGGCAAACATATTGAATAGAAGATTCACACACTTTGGTTCAGGATTCTTGGAAAAATATTGGACCCAAAATTTTGCAGAGTCCGCGGACGGGTATCCGCCAAATGTTCCGATTTGCCCTGAGGCGCTCTTTAACTCGTTACAGATAGACGAATAATTAAATAATATATAAATAAATGCAAATTCGCCATCAGATATTCCGCACACAATGTATTCATCTAATCATCCTCGCTGTCGTTCTCGTTCTCATCCTCATTAGAGCTATCGTCTTCTCCATCAAAATCATTATCATCATCATTGATAAGGCTGCTGAGCGGTGGTGCCTCACCGCGTTCTAATTTTCTTAGATAAGATCTCTTCTTTCGCTCAGATAATGTCGAGAGTATTCTTTCGAGTTCTTGCTGTTCCTGCAATAATTCCTTGTCGCTTTTCACACCGCTATCAATTTTAAGTGGTGAAGTGAGCGCGCCTAACATTACAGTACGTGAATGACACAAATTTACGAACCTCGACGTTATCTGTGTGACCTCTTGACATTTTGCGCACGCTCTCTTCTCCGTAGCACATTTATTGCACAATATGTGGTACGCTTCTTTAACAGTTTTTTCTTCGCAGCCAATACTATGTAGATATTGAATGAATCGAGTTAAAAGAATGATGGTCTCAGCCTAGGAATCAACGACTTACCAACGTTTGGGTACTGTCAATGGCTTATACTTTTTAAATTTTTTACGCCATTCAATAATATCTTTACATTTTTGGCATCTGTGTTAAGAGCATCGATTAGTTCGAATTGAAGCGTTATAAGCAAAAAATGTGTTGTCAACCTACACTCCATCAATCGGCAAAGAATTAATTGTTTTTGTTTTCTTTGAATTCTTATTGGCGTGAAAGGCAAAAGTATTTTGATACTTCTGAGCACCTTTCTTCTTGCTGCTTGTAGAAACTTTAGTCATATTGAATATGAATGTGCTACGTATGCGCGCATTATGAAGATCACCAATTTATCAACTTCGATGTAGCACAAGATTTTAATTTTGTCTCGAACGTTCACTTTAATCATCAGCATGGTAACGCACCTGAGACTCTTTCTATATTTTGATGCAATTTCGCTGATTCAAATTCAATTCTACATCAAAGATCCGTAAACAGACACGACTTAGGCGAGAGTACTTATATCGCAAATCCTTGGAAACCAAAGAAAAACAGATCTTTGAAAGGAAACAAAAGATAAAAGAAGCGATCCGAGGTACAATAATACTTTTTCTTCAGTTTTACCCCTTCGATTTACTGGAGTTTTTGATGTCGGTTCTTTTACCGTTAAATTTCAACAGATGGAAAACCCATACCGACCGAATTGCGTAAAGAAGCTACTGAACTTCAAAAGGAACTCCACTTCGATGAAGCACAAACTGGTTAGTGTTTTCTAAACTTGAATTTCGCGAACTTTACGAACCCCATACCAACACCGAGCGAACATTGCGCAGAACCTACCACACACATTGATGACGAGTATGCAAGAGCCGGTATTTATGATCCCAAGGTGCTTATCACGACCTCCCGTTCTCCCAGTTCCAGGCTCGCGCAGTTCGCAAAGGTACGAACTTGCTTTCTTTCGAGTCATCACTCGAATCTAAATAAAAATAACAACGAAAATTTATTTGACAGGAAATACGTCTAGTCATTCCAAACTCTCAACGTGTAAATCGCGGAAATTACGTAATCAAGG